TGGTCCCAGGTCATGGAAGAGCTCAAAAAGGATTTTGAGAAGGAAGTAAGAGAAGTAGAGGAAAAACTAGGAAGAGAAATGAGAGTGATGCAAGAAAATCATGAAAAACAAGTCAACCACTTGCTAAAGGAGGCCCCAAAAATAGTGAAGAAAATAATACCTTAAAAATAGCCTAGGGACAACTAGGTAGTGCAGTGGATAGAGCACCGGCCCTAAAATCAGGAAGACACGAGTTCAAATCCGGCCTCAGACCAAACACTTGACACTTACTACCTGTGTGGCCCTGGGCAAGTCACTTAATCCCAATTTCCTAAAAATAAAAAAAAAATAGCCTAACCCAAATGGCAGAAGAGGTCCAAAAAGCCAATGAGGAGAAGAATGCCTTAAAAAGCAGAATTGGCCAAATGGAAAAGGAAGTCCGAAAGCTCACTGAAGAAAATACTTCTTTAAAAATTAAGAGTGGAGCAATTGGAAGCTAATGACTTTATGAGAAATCAAGACGCTATAAAACAAATCCAAAAGAATGAAAAAATAGAAAACAATGTGAAATATCTCATTGGAAAACCAACTGACCCGGAAAATAGGTCTAGGAGAGAGAATTTTAAAGTTATTGGACTATTTGAAAGCCATGATCAAAAAAAGAGCCTAGACATCATCTTTCAAGAAATTATCAAGGAAAACTGCCCTGATATTTTAGAACCAGAGGGCAAAATAGAAATGGAAAAATCCATTGATCACTTCCTGAAAGAGATCCTCAAAGGAAAACTCCTAGGAATATTGTAGCCAAGTTCCAGAGTTCCCAGGTCAAGAAGAAAATATTGCAGGCAGCCAGAAAGAAACAATTCAAGTATTACAGAAACACAATCAGGATAACACAGGATTTAGCACCTTCTACATTAAGGGACCAGAGGACTTGGAATATAATATTCTGGAGGTCAAAGGAGATAGGGTTACAACCTAGAATCACCTACCTAGAAAAACTGAGTATAATCAATCCTTCAGGGGAAAAGTGGTCATTCAGTGAAATAGAAGACTTTCAAGCATTCTTGATGAAAAGACCAGAGCTGAATAGAAAATTTGACTTTCAAATACAAGACTCAAGAGAAACTTGAAGAGGTAAACAGGAAAGAGAAATCATAAGGTACTTATTAAGGTTGAACTGTTTACATTCCTGCATGGAAAGATATTTGTAATTCATGAGACCTTTGTCAGTATTAGGGTAGTTGGAGGGAAAAGATTATATGTATGTATATATATAGATAGATAGATAGATAGATAGATAGATAGATAGATAGATATAGATAAATAGAGGGCACAGGATGAGTTGAAGATGAAAGGGTGATATCAGGGGAATAAAATTAAGGGGTGAGAGATTATACTGGGAGGAGAAAGGGAGAGGTATAATGGGGTAAATTATCTTACATAAAATAGACAAAAAAAGGCTTTTACAGTGGAGGGGAAATGGGGGAAGGTGAGAGGGAATGAGTGAATCTTATTCTCATCAGATTTGGCTTAAGGAGGGAATACCATACACACACAATTGGGTATGGAAATCTATCTTACCCTACAGGAAAATAGGGGGGAAGGGGACAAGAGAGCAGGGGTATGATAGAGGTGAGGGCAGATTGTGGGAGGAGGTAATCAGAAGGAAACAATTCTAAGGAAGGACAGGGTCAAAAGAGAGAATAGAATAAATGGGGCGGGATAGGATGAAGGGAAATATACTTAGTTTTTTACAACATGACTACTATGGAAGTATTTTGCATGCTACACATGTATAACCTGTATTGAGTTGCTTGCCTTCTCATTGAGGGTGGGTGGGGAGGGAGGGAGAAATTTGGAACCTAAATTTTTAAAAACAAATGTTAAAAATTGTTTTCACATGCAACTGGGAAATAAGATATATAGGCAATGGGGTATAGAAATCTATCCTGCCCTACAGGAAAATTGAAGGGGAAGGGGGTAAGAGAAGGGGCAGGGGAGATAGAAGGGAGGGCAGATTATGAGTATTCAGAATGCATGCCATATTGGGGTGGAGGGAGGGATGAGATGGGGAGAAAATTTGGAACTTAAAATCTTGTGGAAGTGAATGTTGAAAACTAAAAATAAATAAATGAATAAAAAAAAGAGTAAAAAAGAATTCCTGCTTTAGCGGAAATATTTAACCAGTCCTATTTTTTTTTTAATCTGTTAAGACATGGGGATTCAAAGGCACTGGTATTGAACTTAATGTGCTATTTACAGTATTGAGTATGGTGTCACATGGGACAGTGATAGAGATTGGACCTATGATCTCACTGGTAGGGGAAATTCAACATAAGGAACTTCTTCCACTAATGCAAGCTAGCACCTTCTCTGCATAATATTAGAAAGCACCATATGGATACTTCAATATTTTCAAGCATAATCATCTTAACCCAGACATAATTACTAATTCATATCATGTTATTAAAAGATTAAGTGTTTTTAAAAGGTCATTTGTTGTTCAGTTGTTTTTCAGTCATGTCTGACTCTTTGTAATAGCATTTGGGGTTTTCTTGGCAAAGATAATGGAGTGGTTTGCCATTCCTTCTCCAGAAGCTAGGTAGTGCAGTGGACAGAGTGCCAAGCCTGGAATCAGACTCATCTCCATGAGTTCAAATCTGGCCTCAGACCCTTATTAGCTCTGTGACCCTGAGCAAGTAAGTCATTTAACCCTCTTTGCCTCAGTTTCTCATCTGTAAAAATGATCTGGAGAAGGAAATGGCAAACCACTCCAGTATCTTTGCCAAGAAAACCCCAAGTGGGGTCATGAAAAGTCTGGTACAACTGAAATGTCATTTATTTCTTTTGAATTTTGAAGCCTCTACTAAAATCATGCTCCAATGCTTCCAAAGTATGTTCTCAAAGGTTAGTTTATTCCCCACCATCTTTTAGTATACCTTCTCTAGGCCCTCCAACACCCTCATCTTAATAAGTATTTCAGGGTATGCTGGTAAATATTTAACAACCAGATCTCTGAAAAAAATGTATACAGCACACACTTTTAAGTCTAATCTGCATTATTAATATTTTACCCATCACTTTACAAAAATCTAGACAATCATCAAAACTGTAAATCAATTTTTATTAGCACTTATTGATTTTTGAGATTAGCATTTATTGATTTTTGAGATTAGCATTTATTGATTTTTAAATGCTCACACTGAAAATTTAAAATTGGTTAGAGCCAACTCCAGCACACCACTGGTTAAAACTTGAAATGCACTTTGCAAATATTATCTCATTTTGTTGTCACAACAACCTGGGGAGATAGGTAGCCCACAATACCTAAGTGGCTCCAAATAGGTTTCATTTAGTCATCCCCCCACTTTGTAATTCTGGAACCATAATCAAATCAATACTATCACTGCTACTGAAAAGTATGTGGCAACCTTCTCCCCCTATGACTCTACTCACCATCTCTGTACCTTTGGAAACCAAAACACCCATTCCTGACCACTGCTCCCCTATGTGTCATCTCACTCATTAGAATGTAAACTTCTGGAGGGCAAGGCTTGTCTCTACTTCTGCATTTGTATTACTAGTGTTTAGCATATTGTAAATGCCTAGTGCTTTTAAATTTGTTTATTCAAAGGCTAGAAAAACAGAACCCATTTAGTAAAAGGTTCTCCCAGGGCAGAAATGTTTCAAATAAAGACCCAGTAATATATGGTATCTGCAATCTGAGGACCAGTCTAGATAAGTTTGGAATGCTAGTACTATTGGGTTGGTCACTGGATAAATTTTTCAGTTAAAGTCACTGATAAAAAAAAATACAATCAAAAAACCCCAATATTTAATGATACATAGATTGCTTGGAAGATCCTTAAAGTAATTTTGAATTGGTTGGGAGTCCAAGGGATCTGTAATAATAATCGCTAGCAAGCATTTATAGAGTACTTTAAACAGGGAGTATTCTGTTAAATGTTTAACAACCAGAGCTCAGAAGAAAAAAATATAAACAAAAAATGTAGACAGGACACACTTTTGAGTTTAATCTGCATTATTAGCATTTTATCCATCACTTTTAAAAATCTAGACAATCAACAAAACAACAAATCAATCTTCTGTTTTATTAGCATTTGCTGATTTCTGAGATGTAAATGATCACAATGAAAATTTTAAATTGATTGGAGTGAGCTCCAGTACACCACTGGTTAAAGTTTGAAAAGCACTTGGTACTATTATAATCCCCACTTTACATATAAGGAAACAGGTTGAGTTTAAGTGACTTGCCCAGGGTCACACAGCTAGTAAGTGGCAGAGACTGGATTTGAACTCAGGTCTTCCTGATTTGAGGACCATTGTGCTCTATCCACTTTGCCACCTAACTGCATAAGTTCTAAGAGTTCATCAATGTGGTTAATTCCCTCCAATAATGAAGACCGAAACCCATCATTCCTTCCTCCCCTGTCCTCCTCCCCATCCTATTCTTTATGTGCAACCTTACATTTGCCATGAGGTCCAATCAATGTGCTGGGAACCATCCTCATGTTCTCTTGACATTGCATGAATTCTAATGAACCATATAGGGATGGTTATCCCTTGTTCTTGCCATATGACTGGTCCATCTCTTTTTCCAATTAATTATTTCTTTGATGACATCTTTTAGGCCAGAGATGTCAAAAAGAGTGGCACCTTTGTAGCCTGAACTAGATTAAAAAGTAGTTGGGAAATATTTTACAAAATAAATAAAAATGCAATAAAACATGGATGTTAATATGTGGTTTTCTAAATCAATATGCAACTCTCAGCGATGCTTATATATGGTCTGGTGTTCCATCTCTTTCTATGAGTATGACACCACTGTTTTGCTCTGAATTATTCACAGCAAACTGAAGAAAGTCCTCATTTTCTTTCAACTCCTTTCTTTAAATCAATGAATTTTTATGTGAGAACTGCCTTTGTATAATGGCTTTTCTCAAAGGATTTTAATCAGCTGGCCAATTAACAACACCAACAACCTCTACACATTGTCCTATAAAGGTAGACAGCAATATATTAATTTATTTCAATGAAAATATAACACAAAAGTCATTCAAAACAAAGACATAATCAGTAGTTTAAGGGCATGCCAAACAGGCCAGTGATCATCTATCAGCTTGAGGCTCCCCTCCAAAACGTTCCCCCTGGAAAGTATGTAGGACAGCTGTAGCTGACGTGTAAACATCTATTCCTGAAAGATTTCTCCTGGCAAAGTCCAGTGTATAAAACAGTCTTTTGCTTCCAGCTTATTTATGTAGATCTTCAGAATCTATTTTCTGACATCACTGGTTACAAGTTGGTTGGTCTTCCCTCTGATTGGTCACAGTTTATTCTTTAACTGGAAAAATCGTACTTTTCCCTTTGGCAAAGTTGGTCCCCTTACATGTGACACAGGGATAACTTTGAACAAGCACAAATTACAGAAGAAAAAATACCATTTTTTTACCTAAATATATACTATTGATTCTCTAGTAAGAATTTTAATCAGAAAAAAAGGAGCAATCCAAAGTATTCATGGGATGCCAACATAGACTTCAATCAAATGTTACTGAGGAGGCTGGCTTTTGTCATAGTTGGAACACATTCTCCTGATCACAGTAAAATGGCCTAAGATGCCACAGTGTAATACAAAATGATTGACTCTTCCTCTTACAAAAAAAAAAATTGTGACTTCTACTCTCCTTCTGAGTAGGTTCCAGTTTCAAAAACAAATGGAATGTTTTAACAGGAGGAACCAGTTACCAAAGAACCTGTAACATTTCCTCTCAAGGTGGTTGGCCAATTTCTTTTCCCTTCAACTTGGTCCCCTAACCTGAAGCCTCCATGCCCTGACAGCAATTCTGGAAAACTCAGGTGCAGGTATCTTAAACCCTGATTATGTTACATTAAAAGAACGAGGTTATACAATTCTCTATAACCTCTACAATTCCTCGTGCTGAGGTAACTGCCTCGATTTGTTTTCAGGAACTTAGAATCTTCTTTCTGTGATTGAATGCCCAGAGTTACTTGCTTTATTTTATTAAAAAGGAGAATGGAAACAAAATCTGTACTGTTTTATATTCCTATAGCTGATACTACCTGACAAAGCTATTTTATACTGGCTCAAGGTAAAGCTCTGCTAGACAGAGTACAATCTACTCTCTGGGATGCTGTTATTAAGAACAGCATGGAAGGAATCATGGGAAGGTGTAGTGATTAGCTCTGATACATCAGAGAGTTCAAGTAGCACTTAAGAATTCATTCCTTTTCAAATCCCACAGACATATAAAAGTGCATTGTTTTCCCCATACACACAGAGAAGAAATCCATGCTTCAGTAAAGTTGAAATTTTCTTCATTTCACAGCTGCTCTCCAGCAAATATCCAAGCTGGCATCACAACTCCTTGCTCAGTGGGTAAATATAAAAGAGAGCTAAGGACACAGAAAACCCAGAATTTGTAATGGAGAAAGGACAATTTCACAGACTTTTTTTTCAATGAAGTAGACATCATTCAGTGCTTCAAATCTTGCTCTATCCTTTGCTGGAGACATGAAAATATACATAATCTTTAGACTACAGAAAATCAAAGATAGCAGTACTGAAGAACCAATGTCTGGCTTCAATTCTGCCAGCCTGGGTTTGGGGAAAAGAGAACCAGATATCTAATTATTATTAAGAATATATATATGCTAGAAAGAACATGGAAGTTGTCTGTATCTCATTGTGGCACTGTTATAAATCAGAAATAATTCCTTCTTGGGGGCAAACTAATTATGCTTTGTTGCAGACATAGGAACAAGAGCACTAGGCTTTTTTCTTTATATTTCAGCATGCTTAGGATATCTGATGTGTAGATATAATAAAGGCCCAAGTATTGTTTCTATAATATATCAATAGATGAAATTTGTAGAATGAAAAAAGTCACAGGTACCCAACCAGTCCATGCTCATGACTTGGAAACCAGCTTCTGCTTTAGCCAGTGTTTCATCTTGGGTGGCCAAAATGTTCATCATCATTTTAGAGCTAATTCTTGAAAACTGTGACTTGATAAAGACCAAGTCTTTAAGAAATAAAGAGCTTCCTTTCCAAACTGAAAGTCATTAACTAAGCTTCTGTTCCTGCCTTGACTCTCTTGAATCCTGAGTCGTGGAGGATCAAAGATACCAGCTTGACTGTACTGGAATTTCACTTTGGTTTAAGGCTCTTTCTCTAAGCCTCAGTTCCAGACATTCTAAAGTAAGTGGATATGTTTTAAGCTCAAACTTGTTAGCAAACATATTTGGGGAGTCATATAGCCATTTTAAGTCACCGTTTCCAAAGATGCAAATTCCACGTACATAGTGACCTGCAAATGACGAGAGAGCAAGAAAAAAGAATTAAAAATACCAAATACTTGTTTTCAAAGGATGGAGGGTGTGCATTTGATTTGTAGAAGCATATTTTTTTGCTCCTTGATCACTTTGTGCCTAGCACTGGTTAAAGTAGTATGCAAATACAAGAGAAGTATGACATTATGATCCATGTTGATGGGGATCTTGCAATCTTAGAGAAGACATGGGCTCACACATTAAAAATTAAATGCTGTAATGCAATAAGCCAGGATAGCAATATGTCTAATGGCATTTAAGTGGTGCTCATTATAAGTACCTAACAGTGTAGAGAGGAGAGAAATCACTATAGACTAATGTGGCCAGCAATATTGAATGGAAGAAGAGATCTTCTTAAAGGATGGGTAGTGTCTACCTATATGGAAAAAGCATTGGGAATGACACGACCAAAAGCCAGAGGGAATAGTGTGCATAGAGTTATAGGGCTAAAAAGGCACATTAGGATTTAATATCTGGAAGGAACTTAAAATAAGGTATAACTTAATATGTTATATAAATGTCAACTACTACTGCTGTTCTTATAAGTCATCTGGTTTAATACCTTTAATCTACTGAAAAAAAAATTTAAGCTCAGAGTGAATGACGTATCCAAGGTTACATAACTAGTGCATGTCAGAATTTCTGGAGCATTGTAGTTGTGTAGAATAGTACTTAGAAAGGCACGCTGAATTTAGATTGTAAAAGACCTTAAATGCCAGACTTAAGGAACCTGGATTTTGTTCTTTAGGTAATAGGGAGCCATTGAAGGTTCTGAGGAAGAGAATTTTGGGAAAGTGGTGTTTTCAGATGAGTTTGTCAAGGCTGTGCAGCTGGGAATGACTGAGAATTTGTTATAATAATCAAGGTTGGAAATAATAACGGCAAGGCTAGAAAGGAAAAGATAGATGTAAGGACAATTATGGAAGATAAGACTTGGTGATTAATATGATATCTTGTGGGCAAGGGAGTGCTACAAGTCAGATAATCATAAAGTTTTGTGCCTTGATGCCCAGGAAAATGGTAGCAGATGAATGGTTAAATCAAGAAGGAAACTTATTTTGGAAAGATAAGGAGTTTAATTTTAGACTTTTGAATTTGAGATATCAGAGGTATATACAAATAGAAATGTTCAATAAGGCAAGTAGAGTTCAGGAAAGAAAGGGTTGGATATGTGGATCTGGGAGTTATACACACTAAAGTCATAAATTCTCCAAAGGGAGAATATAAGGAGAAAAGAACATAAATCAAAAGTTGCTCTGGAGATTACTCATAATCAGGATGAAAAATGAGGAACTAGCAAAAGGGACAGAGGAAGCACAGCTAGAGAGAAACCAAGAGAGAAGAGAATCTCAATGAGGGAATGATCAAGGGTGTCAAATGCAATAGAGAGAATGGATATTGAGAAAACAATATTGGATTTGGGCAATTGAGAAGTAAATAGAAATTCACTAGAGTAATGGGGACTGAAGTTAGATTTGAGAGGAATGAGTTAGCTGTGAAAAAAGGAAGCAATAAGAACATGGTTTAGGAGTTTGGTGGTAAATGGAAAGGGGGAAAAAGATGGCAGCTTGAAGAGCAGTACAGTAATGATTAGGTTGTTTTAGAGGGGCTAAAGACAGGGACACCTGAGTAGATTTGAAGGCAGAGGGAAGGGGCCCTTCAGTGGGGAGAAACTAAAGCTAGAAAGAGAAAGGTCAAGATTCTAGAGTGGACAAGGGTAGATGTGATTGGTACAATGGATACTTGATAGCCTTAGGAAGGAAGAGGGGTATATCACCTATAAAACCAGAGAGGGATGAAGCTCTCCCTATACCAGTGCATGCTCCATACCTGCCAAAGTGATTTTTCTGAAACATCAATCTGAGTCACTCACCTACTTAGTAGCTCCCTATGCTTACAGGATCAAATAGAAATTCTCTTGTTTTTCATTTTAAAGCCCAATCACAACATTGCCCCAACCTAGCCTCACTGGACATCACACTACTTCCAGCAACTGGGGCAAATTGGCCTTTTCTATGTTTTGCACATAAGATGCTCTGTGTCTTGCCTTGTGCCTTTGTACCAGCAACTGTCTCCCAGGTCTTGAAGGCAATGACTTCTCAAACCTCTTGCTTCAGATAATCCCCTTTTCTTCCTTGAAGACACAGCTCGAAGCATGATCTACCAACTGAAGCCTTTCCTGGTCTGTTCAACTGCTAGAGCCCTCCCTCCAAAACCACCCTGTATATAATAACTACTTTTTATTTTGTCATCTGGTCTCTTCATATTTATTCTGCATACATTTACATATATTTACAGGTTGGGTCCTCCATTAGAATGTATGTTTCTTTCAAGTAGAGATTGTTTCATTCATTGAGGCAGATGGTGACACTGTGGATAGAGTACCAGGCCTAGAGTCAGGAAAGACCTGAGTTTAAATCCAGTCTTAGACACTTATTAGCTGTGTGATCCTGGGCAAGTCACTTACTTCTATTTGCTTCAGTTTCTTCAACTGTAAGATGGAAATAATAATAGAAGCTACTTCCCAGGGTGTTTGTAATTATCAAATGAGCTAATATTTGTAAAGTACTTAGCATGATGCCTGACACATAGTAAGTGCTATATAAGTGACAGCTATGATTATTCTTATTAATTGTACTCATATCCCTAGCACCAAGAGCAATACTGTCATTTTTTCTCTTGTTTCCAACACTTCATGACCCCTACTAGGGGTATTCTTGGCGAAAATATGGGAGTGGCTTGCCATTTCCTTTTCCAGAGCATTTTTCAGAAGTAAATACTTGTTGAAGGATTGCCTGGAGAAATACACTGAAGAAACAAGAAAAAATATGTAAGGGAGCTGGCTGAGCAGTGATGAGATATCATTTGAAGGTAATGGCCCAGCTCTGAATGTGTTTGTAGATTTTTATCCAGAAACATGCTGTGGTCAGGAAGCTGGCTTAACCAAAAGTCGAGGGCAGAGTAATCTATGGGGTTGATAAGAGAAACAACAAAGAGGCTGACCACTGTGGTCTACAATATGTAGAGAGTCAAATAGATTCAAAAGTGAGTTAACAGATTTCATGAATCTAGAAAAACTGGATTATAGAATTGGATTACAGCATAGACTATGCTCTGGATATATGGGAGATGAGGAGATTTTAGTTTGTGAACAAGGGGGTTTGAGATTTTAGACAGCAATCCTGACTGGTCATGGTAGTGAATGATCAATGGAGTAGTAGTTGGTAGAGTGGAACAAGGTGAGGAACCATAAGAGCAGAGTGTGAACTGAGTCATCAGTGAAGATGATAAAGTCTCTAAGAAGGTTCCATAGAAAAGCGGTGGTAGGGGGCAGCTAGGTGGCACAATGGATAGAGCTCTGGCCATGGAGTCAGGAGAATGTCAGTTCAAATCTGGCCTCTTGACACTGATTAGCTGTGTGACCCTGGGCAAGTCACTTAACCTTGATTGCCTCACCAAAAAGTAAAAAAAAAAAAAGAAAAAAAAAAGAGGTGGTAGGTGGTAACAACAAAGACCAGGATGAAGTGTTGTCAACTACTGGAACAGACTTTTAAGTGAAGAAGAATGGACTGTTGGTGGTAGATTAATGCACTGGTAGCAGTGCAAGGGGCAGTGAGGTGGCACAGTGGATACAGTTCCAGGCCTGGAGTCAGGAAGATTCGTCTTTGTGAATTCAAATCTGGCTTCAGACGCTTACTAATTCTGTGATCCTGGGCAAGACACTTAACTCTTTTTGCCTCAACTTCCTCATCTGTAAAATGAGCTGGAGAAGGAAATGGCAAACCATTCTAGTATCTCTGCCAAGAAAACCCCAAATGGGGTCATGAAGATTAAGACGCGACTCACATGACTGAACAACAACAACAAACAATGCTAGAGAGCAAGGCGCAGTCCAGTGACTTCTGTTCTGTCTTTGAGCTTAGGGTTGGGAGAGAAGATGAGCATTGTTGGGGACAGCCAGTTCTTGTGAGGTGAGTAAAAGGTTGAAGGTCGAGGTGCGATTTCCCACAATCTAGCAGAGTTCCTTAGGATTCAATAAAAGTGGCAGTTAGGGGCTTCCCAGTAGGTGAGACTGAGTAGAGATAAGGCTGATTTGGAATAAGAGTGTGTTGAAGAGGAGAGAGAAGAAGAAAGAGGGGGGCGGAGCCAAGATGGCAGAGGGAAAGCAGTGACTTGCTAGAGCTCTCCCCCAAAGCCCTCCAAATACCTACAAAAATGGCTCTAAAGAAATTCTAAAGCAGCAGAACCCACAAAAAAAACAGAGTGAAACAAATTTCCAGCCCAAGACAACCTGGATGGCTGATGGGAAAGGTTTATCACACTGGGCTGGGAGAGAAGCGAGTTCGGCGTGGGCACTCAGGCCACAGTGACCCTGGAGCAGGCCTCAGAGGACTGAATTGCGGGCAGCTGTGGTGGTTTCCAGACTTCTCAACCCACGAATGCCAAAGACAACTTAGAAGGTCAGAGGGAAAAATCTGTGACTGCGGTGAAAGAAGAAGCTAGATCTCAGCTGCCCCGAGGGAAGCGGCTGCCTTCTAAGCTTCGGGCCCACAGACTGAGGGGGAATCCAGTGGCTGATCAGAGGGGCAATGCAGGGTTCTCTTTGCCAGTGCTGAGGCAGGAATCTCTTGCTTTGCCCATGCTTGGATCTGGGTCCCAGTTCTGAGGGGCAGTCCTGGGGTGAGGAGGAGTGCTGGCATTGTGGAGCTTGTTGTGGCAGTGGAGAGGAAACACCTTGCCCCTCATTATAGCACCTTGGAAGAACTGACACTTTTCAGGTCCCTAGAAGTATCTCTGAAAACAGCTGTACACACCCCCGAACCTTGGGACAGTACATTCTCCACATTGGAAACAGACTCTTACCTTAACAAAGAGTTTAAAACTCAAATAATTGGTTGGGATCATGAGCAAGCAGCGCAAAAAGAGTCAGACTATATTATCTTAGTTTGGTGACAAAGAAGATCAAAACATACAACCAGAAGAAGACAACAAAGTCAAAGCTCCTACATCCAAAACTTCCAAGAAAAATATGAATCAGTCCCAGGCCTTGGAAGAGCTCAAAAGGGATTTTGAGAAGCAAGTAAGAGAAGTAGAGGAAAAACTGAGAGTGATGCAAGAAAATCATGAAAAGCAAGTCAACAGCTTGCTAAGGAGACCCAAAAAAATACTGAAGAAAATAACACCTTAAAAAATAGCCTAACCCAAATGGCAAAAGAGGTCCAAAAAGCCAACGAAGAAAAGAATGCCCTAAAGAGCAAAACTGGACAAATGGAAAAGGAAGTCCAAAAGATTACTGAAGAAAATACTTCTTTAAAAATTAGAATAGAGCAATTGGAAGCTAGTGACTTTATGAGAAATCAAGACACTGTAAAACAAATCCAAAAGAATGAAAAATTAGAAAACAATGTGAAATATCTCGTTGGAAAAACAACTGACCTGGAAAATAGGTCCAGGAGAGAGAATTTTAAAATTATTGGACTATCTGAAAGCCATGATCAAAAAAAGAGCCTAGACATCATCTTTCAAGAAATGATCAAGGAAAACTGCCCTGATATTTTAGAACCAGAGGGCAAAATAGAAATTGAAAAAATCCACCAATCTCTTCCTGAAAGAGATCCCCAAAGGAAAACTCCTAGGAATGTTGTAGCCAAATTCCAGAGTTCCTAGGTCAAGGAGAAAATATTACAAGCAGCCAGAAAGAAACAATTCAAGTATTGTGGAAACACAATCAGGATAACACAAGATTTAGCTGCTTCTACATTAAGGGACTGCAGGGCATGGAATATAATATTCCGGAGGGCAAAGGAGATAGGATTACAACCAAGAATCACCTATCCAGCAAAACTGAGTATAATTCTTCAGGGGGAAAAAATGGTCATTCAGTGAAATAGAGGACTTTCAAGCATTCTTGATGAAAAGACCAGAGCTGAATAGAAAATTTGACTTTCCAATACAAGACTCAAGTAGAACATGAAGGAGAAATCATAAGGGACTTATTAAAGTTGAACTGTTTACATTCCTGCATGGAAAGATGATATTTGTAACTCATGAGACCTTTGTCAGTAGTAGGGTAGTTGGAGGGAAAAAATTTTATGTATGCATATATATATATATATATATATATATATATAGAGAGAGAGAGAGAGAGAGAGAGAGATAGATAGATAGATGGATGGATAGATAGAGGGCATAGGGTGAGTTGAAGATGAAGGGGTCATATCTGGAGAATAAAATTAAGGGGTGAGAGAGGATTATACTAGGAGAAGGAGAAAGGGAAAGGTAGAACGGGGTAAATTATCTCACAAAAAAACAGAAAAGAAAAGGCTCTTACAGTGGAGGGGAAATGGGGGAAGGTGAGAGGAAATGAGTGAATCTTATTCTCATAGGATTTGACTTAAGGAGGGTATAACATACACACTCAGTTGGATATGGAAATCTTTCTTACCCTACAGGAAAATAGGAGGGGAAGGGGACAAGACAGTAGGGGGATGATAGAGAAGAGGGCAGATTGGAAAAGGGGGTAATCAGAAGCAAATACTTCTGAGGAGGCACAGGGTCAAAAGAAAGAATAGAATAAATGGGGGGGGCAGGATAGGATTAAGGGAAATAGAGTTAGTTTTTCACAGCATGTCTATTATGGAAGTGTTTTGCATAACTGCACATGTATAGCCTATATTGAGTTGCTTGCCTTTTCAATGAGGGTGGGTGGGGAGGGAAGAAGGGAGAAAATTTGGAACTCAAAGTTTTAAAAACACATGTTTAAAAAAAAATGTTTTCACATGCAACTGGGAAATAATACAGGAAATGGGGTACAAAAATCTATCCTGCCCTACAGGAAAATAGAAGGGGAAGGGGGGAGAGGTAGCAGGGAAAGCAGACCAGGGGAAGGGGTATTCAGAATGTATGCCATCTAGGGGTGGGGGGAGGGGTGAGATGGGGTGAAAATTTGGAACTCAAAAACTTGGGGAAGTAAATGTTGAAAACTAAAAAGAAAAAAGAACAGAATTTAAATTTAAAAAAGTACTGACTAAAAAAAAAGAAGGAAAAAGAGAGGATAGGGCAGGGTGGGGTGGGGTGAGGGAACTAGCAGGTATGAATAACAGGAATAAAGAAACTAAATTAGGAGGCAAAATAGAGGCCATCTTTTTACTTGAAGAAATTAAAGCGTAAACATGGAGGATATTAGAGAGAACACACACACAGATCAAGTCCAAGATTAATATTCTTAACAGAACAGCAATGATGCTCCCTCTCTGTTTAGTTGGTTATGTAATGGCCCCTTCTTTATTGTTCCTAATTCCCAAACTTCCCCTCTCTCGATGCCATAAACAAAGCTAGTTCCAAGGAACCCTATGTGCCACAGGCATCATATCATCCCATGCCAAGAGGCTCACACAGGCATCTTTCAAAGCACGTATCCTATTCTAAAGGTCCAGAGAGGAAGTGACTAAAGGGAGGGGAGTTCCTGTCACTTAGGGGAACAAAGAGAAGTCATTAATAAGCATGGGGAAGGGCTTTTCAATTGACTAGGTCAAGAAGTGTGGTGGAAAAGAAAGGAACTGGATCTCTTATTGTGCACTCCATCCATGCCCAACCCTAACTGCTACAGAGGAAAGAAGAGGAAGGAAAAGAACAGCAAATGAATCATGTATCTAAGAAGCAATCAGTTGATTAATTGTAGTTATTTGTAGGTACACACATCCAAGGAGAAGAATGACCTGAAGCAGTATTTTCCTGGTATCTCACTAGGACTTCAAGGCCTTTAGAGACTGTCTTTTTCAAACTGTGAATTAGAGTGATGAATGGGTTGGTCCAAAGACATTGACAAGTAACTCAATTCTTCTAAGACCTACACTCTGATGCTTTATGCTGCAAACCCCATCTGTGCAAATATATCAAAAGATGCACTTTGCTCACATATGAAATGTCCCTATTATATTCAATTATACTATGACTCTATTATAATCAATCAATCAAGGAATCAACATGCATTTATTGAGTGCCAGCATATTGGGAAATGTACCAGGTTCTAAGGTCACAAAGACAAAAGTGAAACAATACCTGCCCTTAAGGAGTCACTCTCTAGTGAAGACAACATGTACATAGATAGGTATATACTAAATAGATACAAGGGCCTTTTGAGGATAAGACACTGGTGATTGGAGAGAATCAGAGGTTTTGTGTAGAAAGTGGTGTTTGAGAGGCAGCTGGATGGCATAGTGCACAGAGCATCAGCCCTGGAGTCAGGAGGACCTGAGTTCAAATCCAGACTCAGACACCTAACACTTAACTAGCTGTGTGACTCTGGGCAAGTCACTTACCCCCAATTGCCTCACCAAAAAAAAAAAATGGTGTTTGAGATGAGTCTTCCAGCAAATTAAAGACTCTAAGAGGCAGGTGAGGAGAGACTGAGTTCTAAGCATGAGGCAGAGAGATAGGAGATGTAATGTCATAGATGAGGAACAGTAAGAAGATTAATTTTGCTGGACCATAGGGTGTGTGAATGGAGTAATGTGTAGTAAGCTGTGGTCCCTGGTTGTGAAAGGTTTTAATGCCAAATAGACAAGCTTATATTTGAATCTCTGAAGTAATAAATAGCCACTGTAGTTTACTGAGTAGGAGAATCAGACCTGTGTCTTATGAAAATCACTTTGGCAGCTAGTTGTATGGAGGATGGAATGGGAAGGGGAGAGATTTGAAGCAGGAAACAATTAAAGAGACTGTTGTAGTAATCTAGATGAAAGGTGATGAGGGCCTGAATTAAGGTGGTAGCCTTGTGAGTAGAAAGGGTTGTATGAAAGAGGTGTTGAGGAGGTAGAAATGGTAAGATCTTAATCAAATGTATAGGTGGGGTAAGAGTAAGGAATGTGAGAGTGAGGTTGATTGAGATAGAGAACCTGGATAATTGGAAGGATGGTGGTAGAGAAGGAGCCCTCAAAAGAAATAAGAAAGTTTAGTAGAGAGATGGATTTGAGGATAATGAGGATAATGAGGATAATGAATTCTACTGTAAAGATTCTGAGTTTGAGATGTCTAATGAGAAAATGTAGTAAAGATGAAACAAAGAAGGATATTACCATGACAGCCTCCATGTTCACTTTCCATGTCGCGCCACTTTATAGCTCTGAGGTTTCCTTCCCAGGATGCATTTGGCATGGATCCAGGGACACCTGTAATGTGGATAAAGGAGAAAGATCAGAAATAAGAGATGTAGAAAAAGAGATAGTTGAAGATTAGCATCAGACTACAGAAAAATGAAACCTGCTTCTTTACATTCATCATTAACCAGAATATTAATGTTTCACTGATGACTAGAACAAAGTAAGGTTCTATACTTTCATTTTTGTCGTCTGTAAAATTGGGGGTGATACTTGGAATATTAAATCAAAGGGATATGAGGAAGAAAATGCTTTTCAAACCTTAAATACTGTGAAATTTCATTATTTTTAAGATACAGATCCTGTCTTCAAGGTATTTACCACCTAGAAGATATAATACATACACAAAAAGAAAAATGATACAAGGCAAAATGTGGTAAGTGAAAGGAAGAGTTACAGATACTGCTATGAGGAATCTGAAGAGGGTGTAATAACTCTGAGGCACAGACATTAAATGTCATGAGTAGAATATGATGCTAGTAAAAGTTTGAGGTAGGATTTGAACCCACATCTTCTAAGACTCAAAGCCTAGAACTCTATTCACTTTGTCATTGCTTCTATGGTGCTGTTATATGTGTGTGTGTGTGTGTGTGTGTGTGTGTGTGAGAGAGAGAGAGAGAGAGGGAGATCAAAGAAAAAGTTACTAAACAATTATGTAATAGCTTAGCAGGAAATGTATTTTAAAACAATTTTGAGAGTAGTACATGTAGACCTCTATTATAAAGCAGCAATCAACAAAATCATCTGATTTTGGTTTACACACACACACACACACACACACACCCCAAAAGTAATCAGAAACAATGTAACATAACAACCCAGTGTTTGATAAACTTGAAAATATAAATTACTTAGGAATAATCTAATTGATAAAAACTGCTAGAAAAATTGGAAAGTGATCTGGCAGAAATTAGGCTTAACCAACATATTCCACAATATAATTAAAGATCAAAGTATAAAAAAATTAGAAGAGAAGCAGATCATATACTGTTTACAGTTATAGCTAGGAGATGTATCCTCAACCAAAAAAAAAAAAAGGATAGAAATAATTGCTGAAGATAAAATAGAAAACTTTAATTACATGAAATTGAAAAGCTTCTGTACAAACAAAATTATTCCAACCAGGAAAAGAAGGGAAGTGGTCGAATTGGAAGAAATCTTTGTATCAAATTTTTCTGACAAGGCTTTGGTATCCAAGATACATAAACAATTTAAATGTATATATGACCAAAAGCCATTCCTCAATAGGTAAGTGGTTAAAAAATGTAAACAAATAATCCTCAAAAGAACTTCAAGCTATTAATAACAATGAGAAAGAATGTTCCAAATTACTAATAATAAGAGAAATGCAAATCAAAGCAACCTTGAAGTTTCCCTTCAAACACTGCAAACTGGCGAAGATGACAAAAGATGGGAATAGTCAATGTTGGAGGAGTTGTAGGAAGGAAAATAGGCATGCTAGTGCAATGCTGGTAGAGCTACAAACCAGTACAACTTCTTTGGAGGCCAATTTGAAAAAGAATTAAAATGTGCAGGCCCTTTGACCCACAGATTCTGTTACTAGTTACTAGATTCTGTTACTTATACCCCAAGGAAACCATTTATAAGAAGAAAGTTTCCATATTCCCCAAAATATTTACAACGGCACTTTTTGTGATAGCAAAGAATTGAAAACAAAAGTAGGTGCTTACTTATTGGGGAATGACTCAATAAATTGTGGTACATGAATGTAATGGAATACTACTGTTCTGTAAGAAATGACAGATACGGTTAATACAGAAGCACAAAAAATTCTATATAAACTGAGGTAGAATGAAATAAACAAAGCCAAGAAAGCAATATTCACAACTACAACAATGTAAATGTAAAGAACCACACGCACACACATCAAAACTGAATGTTGGAAAATTAATACTCCCAAACCCACCCTTTTGCAGAGGTGAGAGATGCACAAATGTGGCACAATGTACTATTTTCAGACTTTTTCAATGTATTGGTCAACTGATCCTGATTTTTTTCCCCCTTCTTTGTTTTTAAAAGCATACTATTTTCAGAGTACACTTGCCAAAACAAATTCAGGAACTATATAAACTAAACTCCAAAAAAACTTTTTATACAAATAAAATCAGATTCAAATAATTGGAGAAATATTAATTGTTCATGGGTAAGCAGGGCCGATGTAATAAAAATGACAATTTTACCTAAACCAAAAAAATTTTTTTACTGAATTAGAAAAAAATAATAACATTCACTTGGAAGAATAAAAAGTCAAGAACATCAAAGGAACAAATGAAAAAAAAATGTAAAGGAAGGAATTTTAACAGTACCAGATCTTAAACTATATTATAAAGCAGGATTCATCAAAACTATCTGGTACTTGCTAAGAAATAGGAAGATAGATCAATGCCTGGTGGGCAAGGCCGTGCTTCTGAAAAACATAGCTAGGAACAGCAGAGAAGATCCAAAGAGAAACCAACATTTCCCAAGCAATAGTACTATAAACAATTTGTCAGAATGTTTCACCATTGTGTCTATCAGTAACCAAGACAGGCTTTTCCCTTAGGCCCTCTTTTCTCTATATAGACACACTCTTTTGGTGACTTCATTAGCTCCCATGGGTTCACTGACCATTTTCTTTGCAGATCACTCTTGGATCCTTATATCCAACCTTAGTGTCCCTTCTGGGCTGAAGTCACCAGCAGACTACTGGGCATTCTCATCAGATGCACTATAGGCATCTCAAACTCAATGTGTCAAGAACATAACATAACTCTTTTCCCTACACTCCTGCTTCTGTCAGGGGCTTTCATCATCCTTCTAGTCACTGAGATTTACAACCCCCAAGCCATCTTCTACTCAGCACTTTTCCCCAGCCTCATATTCAATCAGCTGCCTCATCTTATTGATTCCACATCTCCCACATTCATACCCTTCTCTATTCATGTGAATACTATTTCAGTTCAGACTTTCATCACCTCTTGCCTACAGTATTTGAACAGTTTTCTAATGAGTCATATGTCTGTCCCTCCTCCAAATCCACCCTCCACACAGCTGGCAAATTAAAATTCCTAAAGCTCGGGTCTTGACCATGTTACTCACTACCTTGCTCAATAAGCTCTCTTTTTGCTTGATAAAATATCAACTCTTCCATTCACCATATAAAGCCCTTCACAACTGGGTTCCAGACTACTTCCCAGGATTACTGAATTTCGTTAGGCTTCACACATCCTACATTCCAGACAAACTGACCTACTTCTTGTCACTTATCTACAACATTCTATCTACTGTCCCTATCCATGCCTTTGCATAATAAGGTATCTTCCAAGTCTGGAAAATACTTTTTTCCTATATGCAAGATATGGATCAAGATTCCAGATCTTCTGGATTCTAAGCCTACTATTTCATTGTTCTATATCTAGAAGCTTGGCATTACTTCAAAGGGTGATGGGTAGGTCAGATGATGTTGTCCTGAAGGAGTATGAGAAAGCTTTCAGCCTTCAGGCCAAATGAAATGCTTGCCTGCAGCCAAGTAAAATGCATGAATAACCTACAAATGCTTGTGTACATCACAGTAATCAATTTGTCCATTAATATTTTACCTTTCTCTTCAAACATTCTGAAGGCTTAGTGAGAGACTTTTGAACAGCATTTAGACTCTGAGACTGTACTGAGTTTTCTCCCTTATGACCATAAGACAGTAAAGAACAATGATTTGATCAAGCAACTAGGGATGTGAACCTCTGGAAAAATAAAGAGAGAGAGCTTCAATCAATGTAGGCTTGGGGTTAAGCCTGAGGCTCTTGGTCCAGGAGTTCTGCTTTATCTTTCCAAATATTTTGACACTTGCTCACAATGCAATAAAAGTCAGCTTATCTTTATCTGGAGACAAAATCTATTATAAAAATCTCAGCAAATAGCAAGATTTAAAGAGAGCAAGAAACTCCCTAGAATATGTGATGCTAGTTTGCCAGTCTGCAGTGAGGTCAGAGGAAGAGAAGGCAGAAAAAAGTTAAATTACCTAGTTCCCAAAGCAGCAATAAATTTTGTCCAGGCCCTTTGTTGATCTAGGTAACTGGCTGTACCTCAGGGCTCCAAAGTTTTCCCCTAACCTAAATCCTTTGCCTTTTCTAGCAATTTTTTTTAACCTTATTAATGGAAGGCACTGCCCATAAAACAATGGACCCAGTCACTGCAAAGTTTTTTAGTAACCCCAGGAAAATGCAAGCTCTTTGAGGTGTGGAATTTGTCCTTTTTTGTCTTTACAAACATAGGGCCTAGCAAAGTGCCTGGTATAGAGTTGGTTGAGTTTTTTTTGTTTTTTGTTTTTTGTTTTTTAAAGCTTTGTGGAACTGAATCAAATGTCTCGTAACACAAATGATTACAAAAACATTTTCCCCCCTCAGAGGAACAACGTCATTATTGGTTAGTTGGCATCAAATAAGTTACAGGATGTCATAAAAGTAAAATGGCTATAAACTTCTACAATAATTTCAAATAGTAGTTGTATTTCAAGTCCTAAAAATTTGGCAGACATTTATTCATATTGATTATACGAGGCTCAAAGTGCTATCATAAATACACACAATTGCTTCATTTAAAATAAACATGATAATTATAACAGTAATTTTTTGTCTTTGAATTTTAAAGGACATTTTGATGATAGTTTGAATGGCCCTGATCCCTCAAAAAAGCAGTTCAGATAAGTCTAAAATGAGGGCTTCCTTTTTCTCTTGATAAAATTTCACTGTAACAAACAGGGTCATTCAAAATGTTTAAATGATTTATAGCCAGACTCAAATTCGGGTTCATTCTTTTTGAAAACACACATAACAGCATCTAAAAACTTGCATATCCATCATTCTTTGGATTCTGGTCCCCATGCTCATTTTCTTTTCTTTGTTCCCTACACTAAAAACAGGCTTTATCTAGGACCTGGAGCCATCCTATCTAACAACATTGATCCCTATTGATACTAGACCAAGGTTCTTAAGCTGGTTTGTGAACCTGAATCT